AGTCGTTTGAAAGACTTTTTGTAACTCCACGATCGAAGTTATTGATTGTTTAAAGAAAACTTGCATCACTGCTGATTAATTAAAAAGGAACGGATGGCGTGGGTTTGCCAGCCGTCTACTACTGATAAGGCACGCGTTTTATTACAATGTTAGCATTTTTAAAATGGTTAACTAATATACCTAATAAATGTAATAACTGTATTGAACATAATTTGTGTTTACTTTTAGACTACGACTATTTTAACAATATGGACAAGACACTCTTGGTCCTTTAGTGGAACGTTTCGTCAGGAATTGTCCAGTCGAAGGTGAAGGACTCTTCAGATGAGTGAAATGGTGTTCCAGGGGCGGAAGTCTTTTCCAGGGGGTTCCTGAGTGGATAGAGAGGTCGCAGAAGTTGAACTGTGAGGTATTTGGAATGAAATTCGTAATTGCCACCTTCTCTTTCCTGTTCCGGACAGCGCCAGTCAAAACGTACGATGTTCGAGTGGTTTTTAAAAACACTGTTTTAACACATTTATTTGGTTCGGTTTTCAGCAACTTTTATTACACTTTATTTATTTTACTCATTACACACAAGGATGACAAATGAACAACTAATATAGTTTTGACCTATAGAGTAGACTGTTAATGAGATAGGAAATGCATGAACTTATATACTAATTAGAAGTGTTATGACCGGTGATGTGATCCATAGATAGGAGCAAAGATCGCCGGATGTACGGATAAATCTATGCTGTCTCAGACTATTTTAAATTACTTTTTATTATTATTATTAACTTTTGAATTATATTCTTGTCAAACCCCTTATTTTTTACTATTGCTAGTAAAGTACTGTCTAACATTAGAACGTTTAAATGACAAAATATATACTTTAATAATTATGAAAAACCAACATTTACCGACATAATAATCACATACAACTCACGTCATCGGCGGCTTTCAACAGTATGATTCACAAAGCCTTCACAATTCAAATGAATCAGTACTAAATTAGCAATAGTAGAACATAAGGGTATTAACAAGAAAAGACTGTTGATACACCTCCAAGGAAACATAAGGATGCTCTTGAATCTGAAAATATTGCAGCATAACAAATATCACATCGTATTCAAAATATCACCCAGGAAAATGTCAGTAAAAAAAACGGGTTTTATAATTCTTGATCCTCCGACAAAATATCCCAGTAGTATAGCTATAGGGATACTGTGACACTTCGATGGCCTGTCCATCCTCAGTCCCTTACCATGGCCTCTAAGACACCTTGAAGGTCATTCTTCAGCTGAAGAAGTTCTTAAGAGCCTCTGGATTGTCCTCATAGTGGGCGGAGCCTGAAGAATGACCTCTAAGACATCTTGGAGGTCATTCTTCAGCTGAAGACGTTCTTAAGAGCCTCTGGATTGTCCTCATAGTTAGCGGAAAGCCTGTATGTATGTGTGTGCGTGTGTGCGTGCGTGTGTGTGTGTGTGTGTGTGTGTGTGTGTGTGTGT